CTAAGAGAAAGTAGCTGTATATATAGTCTTTTTTTCACTACAATATTGTTCTTCATTTATAGTCCCTTCTTTTGTTTAGTTTTGTCAGAGATGTGTATTCCATTGTCGTTCAAATATTTTCGGTGCGTGAATTCAGCAAAAATAATCCAATATAGTCCAGTAAGTAGTCTACAATAGTAGTGGGTTATCCGCAGAACTGGCAATGTCAGAAGTTGTTGACTTGAGCCTTTTACAGCTCAGCATATGAATATGGCTTGACCTTTCATACCTCACGTTTATACTTTCCTGCTGGATGGTTCAGACCAAAATAAAGCAAGACCTATATAAGAAAAAAATGTAACTTTTATATCTGAAATGTCCGTCAAAGTCCCTAAAGATTTACCTTGAAACCCTGTATAGCAGATTTTAGGTCTTTTGCCCAAGTGACTGTGATTAATGTGTGGTGATTCCCTTATTCTGTAAAGTAAATGAAATTCCATGTTTGTTTCTAAAACACGGGTTGCACTGAGCTGACTGCAGACAAATTGTAAGTCACCACTTGTGAAGTGTGAACCATTAATATTCTTAGAAGCTTTATGGAAAACAGCCTTTGTGGTGTTTTCTTTTTAAATCAGAGTCCTCAAACTTGAAAAGCTTCTATCCTACTCTGAGCTGAGGGAACGGTTGATGTGTGAAACGCAGCTCTGCAGAGCTTGGACGGGCCGTGGCTGGGAAAGAACCTCGCAGCAAATAAAAGGAAGACCATCTTAATGGAGGAAATGATATAGCTCGTAGACTGGTAAATCTAAACACCAGACGAAAAGGAAAATCAAAAGGAAAGTTTCTCCATTTTAAATCACACATCACACAGGTAAACAGAATGCTCAAAGCCTGTTAGGTTTGTTGTTTTGCTTTCTAATTTGAGTCTGGAGAACATTTCTGTAGATTGAAACCTGCAGTCTTCATCCAGGTTCATCATTCACAGGGCATCCAGTCTATCTGTCTGTCCCTCCTCATATATAGAATTCATTTATAATGAACTTCAATCAGATTCTGAGGGTCTCGACTTCTGAGGCAGACGGAGCCTGTGAAAAATATCTTTTGGCAAACTTTGTAAAATCCATATAAGCTCCAGGTGGAGAGAGTCCTGCCACAATGAGTTCAGCGGGGTCAACTTGGCCTTGGACCCAGTGCCTTCACCTTACTCAAACACGAAACTGTTGTGCACTTCTGCAGAGGAGCCCAGAGGTGTGGAGGACCCCGTGGGCAACTATCCTTGAAAGAAGAGCAGTTGTCTCCGTTTTGGCTGTGCTTGACCCTATATCCATGTATTAATAGGGAAGAGCTGGCTAGGACTTCTCCTGATCCCTCAACTGGCTTTATGTGGTACGTATTAGTCTAGCTGAGGAGCTGGTGGTGGTCTTGGAAGACAGCATGTATGATTCCCTGATAAACCACACCTGCTGCTCTTTAATATGAGTCAATTTGAGATAGGAGAAAGAGCCAGTGCTCCACACTGTGGGCTGGGATCGAGCCTCGAGATGGAGACTATGACTTCCTGGGCTTGAGAAGATTACACATCAGAGCTGAAGCACCAGACTGAAAGCATTAGACAGAATCTCAATAGTGTAATGCACGTTTCTTTTTCTGCACATCCTTCTCTCTGCGTATCACAGAAGTAAACGCAGGCCTACCTAGCCCAGCTCACGGTACTCGCTGCTTCCTGCACTTCTCAGTCATTCATCCTCAACCCACTCCTTCACAACTGAATAAAACCTGGGTGCTGCCCTGGGTCGAGGCCTTTGTTCCGGAGAGCCATCACCATGGCTGAATTTAGGACGCCTTGGCTCCCCATAACTATAAATAAGCCTCAGTGTCTTTATCCTCATCGTGGGTTGCATAGGAAGTGCGTAGACTCTAAGTTGATGGTGTTCCGCTAATTTATCCATGGGATATATAAATATAAAATTCCTGGACCAATGCAAGGACAAAAAAGGGGCTCCTTACACATAATGTCGGTGGCATCAGCAGTCAGCAACGGGCTCTGCACCAAGGTCTCCTTGAAGCTTCTGTGAAGCAGAGTCTGGCTGCTCAGCTCTTCCTGTCCAAATGGAAAGGCACAGAGCGGTGGAGGACCCCGCCCCAGCACAGCCCACCCGAGCAGCTGTATCAGCGGTCAGGGGCCTCTGTGGAGCTGAGAGGAGGTGGTTCCCTGCCATCTGGGAGAACTGCCTGCTGCCCAGGAAGCAGGGCTAGTGGAAGGAGTGGAGCACTGGGGAGGGGCAGGAGGCCTGGGCCCCCCAACATGCTAAATGTGTCAGCTATTAGTGACAGCAATAAACACTTGGAGGCTTTTTGAGATAAATGGGTGCATCTAGAGACGACATTCGGAAGTGAACTAAATCAAGGCCATGCGTGCAAGCATCATACCATCTTGCTAGTGTGAGATCCTGAAATCATTATAGCCTGAAACGTACAACAAATGCCATAAAAGGGGAAGAATTTGTTCAATGGGAAGGAAAAACTGGGAGGAGGAAAAGGATGAATGAAAGAAGGGAAAAAGATATATTTAGGTATATATATATATATATATATATAGTTTGGATAATTGCACTGTCAATTTCTGCTGGTCTTTTGAAGGAGAAGCTAATGTTCAAATTCTCTATCAGTTATTTCTGTAGGGTTCAAATCAGACAAGTAAATAGGTAAGGATTTCTGAAAATTAGAATTGTATTGCTATTGGTAAAATTAAACAAACTACTTTTGAAATGAATTCAAGTAAAAAAGTTGAAAATTATAGTGGGCTGGAAATCTCCACTGCTACACATTGGTCAGAACCACTGACCAATGAGCACACTTGTGTTGCTGAGAGCAGAGGGCAGTGCTTCTCTCGTCCAATGGCCAATGGGAATGTGAAGTACGTGGTGGTACAGCCATGATGCGACAATTTGGAAGCCTCTTTAAAACTGAAATTTAAATGTACTACACACCCAGTGATTCTTCTTCTAGGCAGAGACCCCAGAGCGAGAGCAGCTGGTGTGCACGCTGATTCCTGTGCATTCCTCAGGGCAGCGGCTTTTCACAATACCCCAAACTGAAAAGAACACAAGCTATCCACAGGTGAAGAAACAAAATATTCATCCAGACAATGGCGTACTACTCAGCAAGAAAAAACCTGTTGCTGTGTGCAACAGCATGAATAGAGTTAAAAAATAATGCATTAAACAGAAAGTTAAAAAAGGTCTAGACCAAAATGGTGTGTTCAATGAGTCCATGTACTTGAAATGCAAGCCTGTTGCTGACGACTAAATGAATATCAGTGGCTGCCTCTGAAGGGAAGGACAAGACTCACCATGAAAGACACAAGGAGTCTTTGAATATTATGAAAATTTCCAGGTTCTCAATCATGGAGTTGCATACATAGACAACTGACATAATTCATTAAATTTTTATTGTACATGTTATTCGTCAATACAGTTGATTAGAAAAAATGAGTGCAAATGTTTCAGCTTTACATGTTAGTTGCAAGAGCCCCATCCTGTCTTCTGAGGATCGAACTTGGGACTTGCACTTCCCAGGCAGGCCCTTCTGCCTCCTGAGCTGTCTCCCAGCCCTGTCTTTCTTATCACACGTATGAAGAGATGGCCTCCATCCTCAATTCTGCTTCGTTCTAGGCTGCCCAGTGCCCACCTTTCTTCTCTGTGTGCACTCTGAGTTATGGAAAATATTTGTTCAGTTTAAACCCCAGGGGCACAGCTGACAGCCAAAGATGATTCATCGACAGCCAGGGACATTCCATCCGCACCGCCTGCTCCTCCTTCCTCTTATCAGCCCTACCCAACAAACTTCTGGTCCTCCCTTCATAGCACTTCAGCTGGTTCATTGGGATACATTGCGAACCCTCAGCCCAGCCCATAGGGGAAGAGTCAGTTGCTTCCCACATGTCACACCTAAAAATTTCGGGCACACCTGCTACCTCGTGGTAGCGTGTACTTGTGCCCTTCTGTAAAGGCCTTCCCTTGTCTAGATTTCTGGGTGTCTGCTTTCTAAGCTGCACTGACAACTGAGTCTGGGGCATAATCTCCATAGAATGAAACAAAACCATTTCACTTCTTGTGAAAAAAAATCTCGATTTTTTTTTTGGTAGAACAGGAGATTGAACTCAGACCCTTGTGCTTGCCAGGGAAGCATTCATTCTACTGAGTCACCTCTCAGACCCCTGGGATAAGATTTTGAAGCTGTTGGTCATCAGTTAGACCATCCTCACTCTTGAGGATGCTGGGACAGAGAACTAAACAATGGAAGCCCGTGTAACCAAGGACTTCTTAAAGTTACACGTTGTAGTAAGACTGCTCTACACGTGTTTTCTGCACAGACATACCTTTAAAGAAAATGAAAAGTCTGTATAAATTTCTGCCTTTTAGGTGGCTGACGGTGAGCCAGGCCTGGTGGTGCACACCTGAAATTTCAGCACTTGGAGGCCGAGGCAGGAAGAGCACTGTGAGTACAAGGCCAGCCTGGGCTGCATAGTGAGCTCAGGTTCAGCCCAAATGACACAGCAAGACCCTGGATCAAAAATAAATAAACAAATAAATACATAAGTGTACCAGTGATGATTAAATTATTATTATTATTTGGATTAAGTTATTACATGTCTGATAAAGGGACATGGAAGATAAAGGGACTGTTGATGACCAAGTGTTTCCAATACATTTTTACAGTTAAAGACCCATTCCATTTATAGATTACTAAGACTGATTTAGTAGTTTCTTAGTTTTATTTAAGGAAAATAGCTTTGTACAATCAAAATCATCACACAGCTTATATTCTACAGCCTGTTATGACCTACAGACTTAAGTTTATAATAGTACACATGATAGAATGTTTATACTTAGAATAATAGAATTTGACATTTGCAATTGGTTTTGTTCAACTTAAGGTTGTTCTGTGTCTTTTCATGACTTGATAAAGCACTTTTTAAATCTTAAATAACACTCCTTAGTCTGAATACACGGCAGCTTGTCTATGATGCAGCTACTGCAGGATATCTTGGCCGTTGTCAAGCTTGACAGTTCTGAAAGACAGTCATGTAAACAACTGCGTGCAAAGTTTTGTGTGGGCCTGTGTTCAACCATCAGGTGAGTATCAAGGCAGCTGCAGGAATACATTCAGTGTGTGTTTACTTGGGCAAACCACCAAAGTGGCCCCAAAAGTTTGTATTCCGTGTTGTGGGTCACTCAATGTAGGAGCCAGATGAAAGACCAGATGAAAATTTGATTGGAACCGCTCATTACTGAGCTCAAGTTCTCACCTGGGAGAAGCCAGTTCTCACCCAGGAGAAGACTGAGTGACAATCCGCCCTAGGGTGCAAGGGGTGCTTATAACAAACATCACATCCAGTTTGATGAGTATTTGGTATCCAGCACAGAACAACAGAAAACTACATTTATGTGTTGCACTGCGAACTTCTTGGAACTAACAGATCTTTAACAGTTTAGTGAGAAGCACATATTTTTACAAGAGGAAACTTAAGCTGACTATATTTACAGGAGACGGCTAGGCACGGAGTTTGCTTTAGCTTGCTGCCTTGAAAAGAAACAGTTGTTTCTTGTTAAACATCCTTGAGCAGAGAGTAAAATCTCATTTCTTAGAGTAGATATCGGGAAGCACAAAGCTTTTTCTAATAATTTCGCACATTTAAAGCATAAAAATGCATTTAACCCGTTATATTCCCATCAGCAAATGAATGAGTGTTTTTTGTTGTATGTCACTGTCAGCATTTGGTGTTCATCGTGTTCACTGTGCTGGATTTCAGGCCTGTAATCCTAGCCTTGGGGAGCCGGAGACAGGAGAAATAATCGAGAAATTCTTGATTCAATTCGCAATGTCTGAGTGACTGACGAGGTTCTACTTTTTCTCATATGCCTCTGATGAACTTTTTTCCCATTAAAATTTTTTCTTCCAATCTCATGTTAATTTTTAAGTTAGGTTTTCTTTTTCTTTTTTTTTGTACTTAGTACAGAGTCAACAGCTTTTCATTACACAGATTGGACTCTTAGTGATTGGTTGTGGGCTTAGTGTGACCCAGGTCATGGGCCAGCGTTCCAGGCAGGACTACAGATTGAACCCTGCCTCCTACACTTGTTAAAGCACATGCTTAGTCAGCTGAGCAACCTTGCTGGCCCTGAAATGAAGACCCTTGAAGAAGAGTGCACCACTCACTCAGACCGATTAGCTGCACAGGAAAGAAGCAAAGTTTTGTGTTTAAAATTCACAAAGAATTATAGAAAAAGAAATTTAAATGCATGCCCTTCATTTAACAGGTTCATCCCTTCTTGCATTGCTTTACTTATTTATTTATTTTAGAAAATCTTTATTTACTAGGATAGAAGGTCTGGCTGCACAGTCCACACTCCTGGTGATCCTTCAGGCTTTCCTCACTCATTACAAGGGAAGCTATCTTCACATTCTTTGGGCAGGGCTGATTGCCCTGAAAAGACACTTCCTCTATCAGTCTGCTTATAGCTCAGGAAATCCACTGCAGGAGAAGCTGTCCTCACATTCCTTGGGCAGGGCTCCCTGCAGGAGGCCTTAAAACCAAAAAGTTAGACCTTGTCCAGTGCACCCCAGACACTGCAGAAGTGAGCTTGTCTCTATCCTGTATCTGGACATAGAGAAGAGACATTTCAAGCAAAAATGTTGAAAGCTGATAAAGAGGGGGAAAAAGTGTTCATGATGAAGTCAGAGGAAGTTTCAGATTGAAGTGGTCATGCATCTTTGCCTCTCAGCCTGGGGGAACCCACATTAACTGTCAATATCAGGAGAAAGCCTGTTATACTTTTAATGGATGCACATGTGGATGTCAGTCATCACCCAGCCAGTGGCCAAACTTGCGAACTGGAAAGTACTCAGTGTTAAACATAAGTCCTGTAATGCATGTACCCCCAGTAAGAACGGAATTGGCCAGTTTATTAGAGAAAATACTGGTGATGGGAGCTAAAGGGACTAAACCCCACATTTAAGAGATCTAAATACAAAAATTTTTAACTAGTCTTTCTAACTACAAACTTAACAAAAGATGGTTACATTCCAGATCCTTCCAATCTCTCAATGGCTGCCCAAGATAACTGACATCACATCAATGGCGTGTGAGATGCTGCGGTCCTCTAGACCTTATCTTTATCATGTCATAAAAAGCTATGAATGTCTCTTAGTAAAAATCATTTTTTTTACCATATTCACAATTATCCTCTTGATGTGATTATTTAGCCCATGTATGATTCATCTTTTCTTTAGATTTGTCTCCTTCACACAGAAAGCTGGTTCACCTACCCAAGATAAAAATGCCTGGTGTCTATTGAGGGCCTTTATATAGAACCTCTGGAAAGTGTCTCTGACTGCCAGTTCACAACTAAGGCAACTTTCAGCCTGAAGAAACCAGGTTCCCTCAAGGAAGTTCAGGTTACTTCTTCAGAGGGAGGAATGTTGTAGGCAACTGAGTTAGACGGAAATACTATAGGCAGTCAGACAGTGCCCAAGCTTCAAGGAGATGATAGAGAAGATAAGGTGACTTTGTAACTTTGGAAGAGATAGGCGCTCCCCAATGTAGGCCAGACCTCAAGACAAAAGAGTAAACAAATACAGCCACATACTTCCCTAGGAATGGGCATCAGTGATTGATATTCTAAATAAGTATCAATCACCTTCAAAGAGCCCAAATGAATTACTGAATCACCCCTTAGCAGGAAGAAATCCTGTTCCTTATTTGTGCCCACTTGCTACATGACTCACTTCCCCATTTGATTGTGATTTAATCAATTTTTCCATAATTTTATTGAGAAATAAATGGCAATGAGACAGTTTCAAATCAAATTGGTAGGACAGTTCCAATAATTGACACATTGCATACTGTCTTCTGAGTGGTTATTTGTTGTACAAGATGCAGACATGATATCCTATTTATAACCACTATTAGAACAAATCCCTCTCTTCACTGAGTTAAGAGAATACAGCTATATATCTATCCTAACCATTTTGAATACACAGATACAAAATGGTCATTCATCTGTATCCCCTTTTTTGTTCAGTTCCATCATTTAAATATTATAGGTGTCTGAACTCACCAAAATATTCCAAAATAGTCCAGTAGTCCTTAATAGTATTGAGTCTTCCACTTGACTGGCAATGTCAGAAGTTGTTGACCTGAGTCCCCTACAGTTCAACATAACAACATGGCTTTACTTCTTATACTTCATTTTTAATACTTTTCAGGTGGATGGTTAAGATCAAGATAAAGCAAGATCTATGTAACAAGAATTGGAGCCTTTGGATCTGATAAGGTCAAATCCCCTCAGGATTTATCCTGAAACTCTGAACTTCAGATTGTAGATCTTTTGTCAGTGTCAGCCATGTGGATGAGTCACGGCCATCGCTTGCCCAATTTGCTCTCTATGAAAGCTTGAGAGGATGTTTTCTTTCCATGTGACTCTCATTAGGCATGGTCTACATCATTCATCCTTTCTTCTGTGGCCCCATAATCTCCTTGATCCGAAAATTTGGGACACAACTGACTCACATGATGTTACAGTACAAGATCTCCTATGGCCTGAATCTTAATTGAACTTGGAAGGCTAGGGCTAAAATGTTGTCTTTCCTTGCAATGTTCCTTTTTCTCTAATTTTTTGTCTGCAAACTTAGGTTGTTAAGCCTGAAGAAGAGAAGCTTATTTTTATTACCATACAACCTAGGCTGTTGAGCTTAACTTCACTATTGTCTGAATATCACTCATTTTTGGCATAAATGGAACAGCAATTTTTCATCAAGTATTGATATGTTAAAATTTAGCTCTCTAAAGAATATGATGAAAAAATATTAAACACTAAAATATATTTTAAAAATAGAATAAATACGTACACCCAGAAATCTAACCATATACAACATTGTAGCAGAACAGTCCAGCAACACTCCCTTTCCTATCTCCTGCCTTCATTCACAACCCCCTTCCTTTATAAACAATCATCTACCCGAGACACAGGTAGGTACTGGCATGTCATGCATGACAAACAGCCCGCATTCAGAAGACCAAAATGACAACCACTCCAAGCAAAGGTCTGTTCTCTAGAATTTATGAAGAACTAAAAAACATTAGGGTCCCAATATTTAAAGACCCAATCCACAAAGGGCATCTGAGATGAACACACACTTCTCACAGGATGAAATTAAAGAAGTGAATATATATATGAAAAAAAGTTCCACAGCACTAGCCACCTATGAAATACAAATTAAAACAACGTTGAGATATGATCTCAGCCCAGAAATAATGGCTATCATAAAGAAATCAACCAACTACAAATATGGAGAGGCTGTGAGGTAAAAGGAAACCTTCTCCACTCCTGGTGGGAATGTAGACTAGTGCAATCATTATAGAAATCAGTGTGGAGACTGCTTAGAAAAAAAGGACTGGAAATCCCATTTAAAACAGCTATTCCCCTACCGGGAATTTTCCTGGAGGATCCGAAAACACCATATCATAGTGATATATGGATACCTATGTTTATAGCAGCACAATTAGTGATAGCCCAAATTTGGAAACAACCAAGATTCCCATCACCAGAGGAATGGATGAAAAAGATGTGGTATTTGTGTACAATGGAGTATTACTCAGCTATAAAGAAAGATAAATTCACAGAATTTATGTTAAAGTGGATGTCACTTGAAAATATACTCATAAGTGGAAAAGAACCACACACACATGTGTAAATATCCTATAGTTTCCCTAGTATAAGAACTCCAAAGAAGAAATACAAATAGGTATAATACAATCAAAAGGAAAGCAAAAACTTCATGACTAGACAATGAAGAGAGAGCAAAGTGAAGAGCTAGGAAACATGACAGAGGCAAGCCATACAATTATATGTACAAGATGGGTAAGGCAATAAGCCTGAGAATCTTCACAAGATTTTCAAAACCAACAGTTAATTGGAAGGATTCTCACCCTGACTAACAATATATACTGACACCTGTGAACTAAGCAACTGCACTGAAGATGACAATTTGTAATAGTAGATTTAATCAACTTTACCTGAGAAATGGTGCTTGTAATCTCATTGGTTGACCATTGTTTTGTCCCGCTTCATGC